GAGTGCTCACCTTCGGGCGAGCCAGGGAGGTGAGTCGCCGGGGGATCAGGACCGGCCGTTACCCCGGCAAAGATAATAGGCTGTCGGACCCCGCCCCAGGTTGTGGGAGCAACATTGCTGTATGCCAGGACCTGCCTGAGATCCTGTACCTGTCCTTGCCTGGTTTCCTGCCTTGTGTCCTGCCTTGGCCCTGTCGGACTGACTCCTAGCGGAACCTTTAGATTCTGGACCGGTCCTGGACCGCGTTTCACAGGTTACCCCTGGGCCCAGCACAACAGTGATCAATAGCAGTGGCCATTGACAGCATTATGCTCCATCAATTTGTTTGCTTTTTGCCTTTAAAAGTGCACACTTAAAATGTAAATGTAACAAACATGTTTGTAAATCCACACTCTCTAGGGAGCTACACTGTATAGCAAACTCCAGTTCATCTTATACCCAAATTTGCTTCCGTGTAAGTTGTGAAATGCCTCCGTCATTTTTGTCTACAAGAGAAGTCTACCAGCGCCACCTCCCTTGAAGTTTCCTTGCCTCTCCTGTGCTGGCCAGGTGGCCTCTCTTAATCCCCAAGGTCTCAAAAGGGAGGTTGCAGACGAGTAATCCAGCACTAATCCTATCAAATGCTATGAGAGCAAATGCTATCTGCCTTCTCCGTTTGGGTGGGGTAGACAGGGACCACTTCCTCCCCAAAGGCACTGCCGCCATCCAGACTAACCTTTTAGCACCATTCCTCTCTGCTACCCCCATTCACTTTTCTCTCTCTTCGCTCAGAAGTGCTAATGCACAACCATCTGCCCCTTGCTTCAGTTACACTGCAGGCTCCTGCAGAACTGCCGTTGCAGAGAGTTGCTTGCAATGGTGTGTAGCCCTCATTTGTTCCGTGAGTCAGCTGGAATCCATGATGCTCGATTGGGTGTATTATGGAAAGGGACGGCAGATTAGCTGCACTCCTGGCCATGTGCCCTAGGCAAGCAAAACAAACCTCTCATAATTGAATTGCACTCTCCGCCATGCTTTACTGCCAGCTTTGTGAAAACTTGAGTATCGCCTCACAAACCTTTGTAAATGCCAGAGCCCACACTGCTGCTGCTGATTCTGCCCCGTTGCCGTAGATGCTGTGCCTTCCTGAAGGAACATGTAGGGACTGGACCATTAGATGGAAAAGTTGAGGTTTGGCTGTCTGGAGGCAAGGGGAAGGATAAGCACATCACCCTGATGCCCTGGCCCCTTCCCTGATTAGAGTCAGCTTCACATCCACCCTTGCCTGTCCCTGGGACAAGGTGGCCCAACTGCATAAGGTGTCCAGGAGAAATATTTGTAGGGGCCCCGCAGATGCAAGGAACAACCTGGCTTGGGAGCCTGTGGCTGAGCAATGCTGGCAGACAGTTGCCCAGTTAAAGGTAAAGGACCCCTGACCATTAGGTCCAGTCATGGCCGACTCTGGGGTTGCAGCGCTCATCTCGCTTTATTGGCCAAGGGAGCCGGCATACAGCTTCCGGGTCATGTGGCCAGCATGACTAAGCCGCTTCTGGCAAACCAGAGCAGCGCACGGAAACGCCTTTACCTCCCACTGGAGTGGCACCTATTTATCTACTTGTACTTTGACATGCTTTCAAACTGCTAGCTTGGCAGGAGCAAGGACTGAGCAACGGGAGCTCACCCCGTTGCGGGGATTCGAACCGCCGACCTTCTGATCGGCAAGCCCTAGGCGCTATGGTTTAACCCACAGCGCCAGCAGCCCAGAGTGGCTGGGGAAACCCAGCCAGATGGGCGGGGTGGAAATTCTACCCCAGCCACTCTGGGCGGCTCCCAGCAGAATATTATTAATAATAATAATAAAGCAAGAAAACATCAAACATTAAAAACTTCTCTAAACTGGACTGCCTTCAGATGTCTTCCAAAAGTTGTGTAATTCTTTATCTCCTTGACATCTGAAGGGAGGGCGTTCCACAGGGTGGGCGCCACTACTGAGAAGGCCCTCTGCCTGGTTCCCTGTAACCTCACTTCTCGCAGGGAAGGAACCACCAGAAGGCCCTCGGAGCTGGACCTCAGTGTCCGGGCTAAACGATGGGGGTGGAGACGCTCCTTCAGGTATACTGGGCAGAGGCCGTTTAGGGTCAGCACCAACACTTTGAGTTGTGCTCAGAAACATACTGGGAGCCAAAGTAGGTCTTTCAGGACCGGTGTTATATGGTCTCGGCGGCCGCTCCCAGTCACCAGTATGCTACTGGGCACCCTGCTATTTTGAGAAGTATGATTGCAAAGTGATGTTTGACTCTCGCACACCAGAGCAACCCTTCCCATTTCTGTCTTGCTTTGCTCAGTTATACCAGCTTAGCTTGGTGCACCAACTGCAACCACTCCAGGACCAGGAGAGCCTTGTGACCCACGCATTGACAACCTCATGATTAGATTACTCCAATGCACTGTACGTAGGGCTGCCCTTGTAGCTAGTGCAAAAGACAGCTGCAAGGGCGCTTCCTGGGACAGCAAGCTCCCTCACGCTCAAGATCTTATTTTTGACATGTAAGGTCCTAAACTACTTGGAACCAGGATGTACCTAGCACACTGCCTTCCCCACAGCAGCCCAAACAGATCTTTCAGACCTTCTGATTCAGCCTAGCAGATTGTCACTTGGTGCCATCGCAGAAGCAGGACTTCTTGGTGATGCCACCAACCTTCCGGAATGCTCTCCCTCCGGAAATCTGTGGGGCAGAGACAGTAACGACCTTTAGACACCTCTAAAAATGTCTCTTCACCGATGCTTTCCTGGACCCGTGGCGTCTTTCATTTTGTACGCTGCTTATTTTTATTTGACAAGTTTTCTCCCCACAGCCCACATTCCCACCTAGACTTTTAAGGAACTCTTAACAAAAGCTGTTGTATTTCTGTCGCTTTAAGGTAAAGCTATTTTTTATTATTATACTAAGCCACATGGAATAAGTAAGTGAATAAAGGGTCTACTTGAGAGGTTTTTAAATAGTTACAGAAGTGCTTTTAGCTCAACCCTTTCTGCGGCTGGCTGGCCTCCATCCCGCTGAGAGCCTCCTGGCTGTCCCACACCAGCTGCGCAGGCTCCATTAAACACCCCTCCCTTCCCTGTTGTAGTGGCAGAAAGGCACTCCTTGCTTTCTAGAGGAATCCTACGTGGAGCAGACAGACAGGAGTCCAGGTTCTCAGCAGGGACACAGCTGATGAACCCATTCAGAAAACATTTGATGAGGCTGGCAGGGGGCTCCTCTAGTGCTTCCCAGGCCAAAATCAACCCTTTCTTGTGAGCTTGGATGACAACAGAGCCAAAGTACTTGCATTACAGTCCCCTGTGCAGGCAGGCAGGCGGGCAGGCAGGCAAGCACCCCACATTTTGCACCGACTCGGGGTTTCAAACTGTGCACTAGGGGTGCCCCCTGAAGCAAGCAGGAAGGCAGCCTCTCCTCTGACCACTTGTCTCTCCTGTCTCCCTTAGGAGAAGAAAGGCCAGGAGGTCCAGAAAGGCCCAGAAGTGGAGATTGCAAAGCTGGACAAGCTGCTGAATCTGGTGAGGGAACCGGTGGCCAAAACCAGCAAGTGAAGCCTGGCCAGTGTGCCCCCCACCCCCCGCTGCCTCCACTCTCCCACCCTGCGTGCAACTTGGAAGCTCTGCGCTCCAGGAACAAGCACCCCTTTGTAAGGGCCCTGGCCCCACACAGACAGCTGCACCGAAGACCTTTTTGTTCTGGCACTAAAGATGATTTGGTTTTGGTTTTGCATACAGAAAAATAAAAGCCGAGGCTCGACAGCTGCGCAGAGTGAGCATGCAGGACGACTCTCGTCCAGCCGCACATCAGGAGCGGGGGAGAAAGAGGGGTGTGTGTGTGTGTATGCAAAGCTGTCTCTGCAGCTGATCACGAGGAAGAGGCCCAATCCTGCCCTCTGCAGAAGATGCCACTTGCTGGCTTGGAGTGAGAAAATGTCTACCATCAAAAAAGATGATTCTCCAGAGAGACCCTACTGAGAATCCCACAAAGGGCCAAACGGGGATGTGTGATATCTGTCACACAGTTTGGTGCTGTCTAGCTGATCTTTGGGACACGGGTGGCGCTGTGGGTTAAACCACAGAGCCTAGGACTTGCCGATCAGAAGGTCGGCGGTTTGAATCCCCGCGACGGGGTGAGCTCCCGTTGCTCGGTCCCTGCTCCTGCCAACCTAGCAGTTCAAAAGCACATCAAAGTGCAAGTAGATAAATAGGTACTGCTCCGGCGGGAAGGTAAACGGCGTTTCCGTGCACTGCTCTGGTTCGCCAGAAGCGGCTTAGTCATGCTGGCCACATGACCCAGAAGCTGTACGCCGGCTCCCTCGGCCAATAAAGCAAGATGAGCACCGCAACCCCAGAGTCGGTCACGACTGGACCTAATGGTCAGGGGTCCCTTTACCTTTTAGCTGATCTTTGCAAAATGGCACGTGCCCCCCCATGCCCCCCCAAGCCAAATTGGGACCCATAGCGCTGGGGCAGAGGGAGTTCTTTTTAACCCTTTGCCCACCGTGTCGATTATAATCTTCCTCTCCCAGGCCTGCTTTCAACAAGGGGAGGAAAGTCAAGATGCTCTCTGAGCACCAGCTTCAGCCTGTCCCTTCTGGTACAGACATGAGTTCAATAAACCTGGGTGCTTCCAGTCTAACCGTCACCCTCCTGTTGTTGTGCATGCCTCCATGCCCAGCCTAGGGCAGAGCAAAGGACCTTTGCTCCCCCGCTGCCATGCGCTGACACAGAACTGTCTGGTGCAGTTAAGCTCCTGCGTGATGAAGGGCTGAGGCAGAAAGCCAAGCGGCGCTGTCCTCACGGCCAGGATGAGGAAGCCGGTTGCCTCGCAGCTGCCGCCATCAAACCCACCCAACTCTGGCCTCTCTCCCTCCGAAAGGGGGCTGAGCACTTTTCAGGGGCGCATGGCCCCTTCACCACCCCCTCCCTGGAAGCCCAGCAGGTTCCTTTGGAGACAGGAAAGAGAAGCGGAACACAAAAGGTTTTCTGTCTGCTAGAAACTAGGCAAGTTTTTTTTATTATCATTATTCCAGTAAAATCACAGTCAGGAAAGGACATGTTAAGCCCAGTGGAGAGTCATTAGCATGAGAAGGGAACAAGCAGCTCTCTGCCTCTTAGCAACACAAGGAAGCGGAGAGACCTCCAGAGACCCCCACCATACAAACATACACTCCCTGGGAATCCTGCTGAACCACGCACCAAAACTCCCACTTTCCCCTTCTTTATTGCAACGGCTCCGCTTTGGGGTGCCAGGCCCACCCCAGTTCTGGCCCGACACACACTCTGCTTAGTTCGCCTGCCTTGCTCCTGCCTCTTGGGGCAAGACTGCTGGGAAATTGCTTCACTTAGAGAAGGTGACTGAGGTGGGACGGGGGAGAAAGGCTGAGACCCCCAGGAGGAGGAGGAGGAGGAGGAGGCAGGCGCCCTCACAGACCCCGAGACTCGGCCACAAAGATGGGCGAACGCAGGAGGGCGTGCAACAGAACACTGTCTGCCTGACCAGATCCCCAAAGTTTCTGGATCATCCAAGCTCTCATCCTGTGGCCATGGGAGCAGGCGGCTCAGTTCCCAAGAGGCACTTCATCACGATCCACCTCACGCTCTCAACCCAGCCCCTTTCCTCCACTTCTACCAGTGCTGCCATCTGTGGTACCAGCCTTTACCCAAACCCTGCACACCTGTCATAAGCCCAACCTGTCTCCCTTGGGGCCTAGATCCCTACTTCCATCACTGAGATGGTGGGTGGGGGGGCCAAGCTCTGGAGAGTGGGCAGGAAAGAAACTACTTGACCCAGAACCAGACTCTCGCCCAACGGTACCCCAGTTGGCCAAAGCCTGCAAGCGCCCAGCAAGTTTGTCTGCCCCCTCAGGTTTCGACACCAGCTGCTGGAAAGAGGGAGCCCAGCTCATCCATCGGAGAAGGGGGTGCACTTCCACACTGCCCCCCACACCCTCACGCTTTGTCTGTGCCCAGCGGCCCGCGGGAGACGGCTTCCAAAAAGGCACTGATCTGTGAACATGGCTCGGTTGCTCCCCTTCCGCCGCTGGGCTGCCTTGAGGCCCCCGAAGAGACGGAGGGGAGGCCCCTCCACAAGAGGAAAACAGGAATCTCCCTCAAGGGGACCCTGAACCAACCAAGGTTTTACTGAAACCTGGCTGGCGGGGCAGAACGTTCCGGAAGATCCCGGGCAAAGCTGCCTTTGTGCTGCCACGCCGGCCGCCATCTTGACAGGGCTAGCCTCCGAGTTTGGCGCAGGCAAGTGCCCCGCAAGGCAATTCTGAATAAAATGGCGGAACCAAGCCCAGCTTGTTCGTCCGCCTGCTGCGCCTCAGCTGCGAACGCCACTTAGCCTCCTCCGGGCTCCCGCGAGGGGCTCCTTCCTCCATGGCCCAAAGACCCCTGCCCTCATCGTGGCCAGCGTCCCGTGTCCCTAAGCTGCCCGGCGATGAGGCCACAGTTCTCTCAGGACCTTTGGACCGAACTGGGTTCTAGACAGGGGAGGCTGAAATCCCCGTTCCGGGGGCTTTTGCTGGACAGACAGGGTCATGGATGCAGCAGGTACTTCTCCTCGTTCCCCCTGTCGTCCGTCTCAGAAGAAGGGCTCTGGTCGGGGCAAGATGGCGTCCGGCAGGCCTTGCAGAGGATCAGGAAGAGGATGAGGATGAGGAAAGCGATGACGCAGTTGAAGACAATAGCGACGACTGCCCCGGTGGAGAGGCCTGCCCCCATCCTGGGTCCCCGGGGTGCAGAGGTGGCAGTCAGGGCACAGCTAAGAGAGGCAGGCCTTGCCGCTGCCTATGTGGCCGACAGGCTCTCTCCGAAGACGGGCCTGCGCCGTCGCTTCTGCTTCTCTCCTTCTCCCTCCCTTGAACCATGAAACGCTCCTTGCTACCCCAGGGCTGTGCTGCCAGAGGCCCACATGGCTTCGCCCCCGGTGGAAAAACCGCAGCCCCACTTTCTAAGCGAGCACTATCAACGCGCCACATGCCGCTCCTCTTTGCGCGACGAGGCTGGCTTTGAATCTGCCGAGGTCATCCTGCAAAACGGTGGCAAGTCGCTCTCCCTGTTGGGCGGATTCTGCGGACGCTGTCCCGAACTCCAAAGGTCCTGTTTGATGGTGGTGCTCGAGACGAAGCCCCTGAGGCAGAAAGCAGGGGCCAAAGGAGGTCACGGCTGCTTCTGTGCCCTCACCAGTCTTCTGGGGTGAAAGTGCATCCCTGCAAGAACAGAAAAGGCCCATGGAATCATTAGGAAAGGATAGAGCTTCTTCCACACCAACACCGATCCCAGGAGCAGGCGCAGGTTTTCCCACACCATGTCAAAGAAGCTGCATTTGACAAAAATCTCACCTCCTGAGTCTCACACAGAACCCAGAATGGCTTGTGTCCCCATTGCACACTCTCGCCTGCCCCTCTGAGATCTCACACGCCTGCCGCCTCCCTGCCCCAAACACGCACCCTTCAGATGCACGTCTTCCTTGCTTCCCCCCTTGAAAACCCCACCACCCCTTCTAAGCCAGCGGTTCTCAACCTGTGGGTCCCCAGATGTTCTTGGACTACAACTCCCATCATCCCTGACCACTGCTAGGAATGATGGGAGTTGTAGTCCAACAACATCTGGGGACCCACAGGTTGAGAAACACTGCTCTAAGCAGTCTCCCTCAACCCTCTTTGTCTCCCGCCACATTTAAGCCATAGTGCGGCCCTCTACTTCCTCCTGTGGCCCCCAGGAGCCACCCACTTGCGCAGAGGCGGCTCTGGGATCCTGCTGCCCTTTCTCCACAACATCTCCCTTCTCAACGATTCACACAAGGCCAAAATGTGGGCCATTTGCAGCATGCTGACTTTCTTGCCTTGGGCAAATCCCTGCGGAACGCCCTCCCATCAGATGTCAAGGAGATAAAGAACAACGCAACTTTCAGAAGACATCTGAAGGCAGCCCTGTATTGGGAAGTTTTCAATGACTGATGTCATGAAACATGAAACATGAAATTTATTACGGTCAGAGACCAGCTTGAGAAACACAAATGGAACTACAATCCCAATAGCAAAACAAACATTTAAAACAATATACAACAATGGATTTTAAGTTTAAAAGTGTGATAGAAATATAAACACATAAAAACTTTAAGAGAGACTACCTTAGAGAAATGTTATGGTTTTTATATGTGCTGGAAGCTGCTCACAGTGGCTGGGGCAACCCAGCCAGATGGGTGGGGTATTAATAATAATAATAATAATAATAATATCTCATGGTTGAGGAGGAAATGCTTAGAGCCTCTGGGCAGCATTGGATGAATGCCTGAAACCCCAAGAGAGCCCTGAGTTCGAGTCAGGACGGGCGTAGGAGCTTCACCCCCTGATTGCTTCCACACTCTTGCCTCCCCACTGCCCAGTGGCTCCCAGTGGACAGACAAACTGGAAGCTCGCCTTTCCTCTTTCCCCAAACACCTGGATCCATCAAACCTCAAAAATGCCAACTGAATTATGCAATTGAAACACCCATGGGAGTAACTTGGGGGGGTGTCTCCTTGCTGCTGTTGCGGCCTCTTTTTAAGGGGCTAGATGCTGAGTTGCTGCTCACGTCAAGGCAGCCAGGGCCTCAGCTGGCACAGTGAGGCCAGAACTGCCAGATAGCTGAGAGCACAAAGCCATCTCCTAGGAAATATCACCCCCGGCTACTCAGAGGAGGCCATTCATTCGCCAGGGACAGCGCAGCCTTTGTTCTCCTTCAGATAGCCAGGGTCAGATTCTGCCAGGCGCTGAACCCCATGCCTACCTCCCTTCCCAGCCTCCCGCCAGCTGGAAAACTGGCACCCAGGAAACCCACCAGCCGGGAGCTCCTGGGATTTAACAGAATCATCACACTGGGAAGGAGAGTGGGAAACACAAGCCTCACTGCCGCCAGACAAAACTCTCCTTTCGGCAAAGGCAAGGCACTGAACAGGAACGTCTCTGTTTCAAAGGAACTTGCAAAACAGCTGAGGAATCGCGAACTTCCAAGAAGTTACGACCATCTCCATGGAGCTGAGCGTTGTCGGCTAAGCATCCAACAGTGAATTAAAAACAAAGGGTGGCTTCTGAGCAAATGCAGGTGCGCCCTGAATCCAGTTAGCAGAGCAGAATGTCCCTGCCAGGAGGGCCTTGTTATCTCCCGCTTGGACTACTGCCATGCGCTCTACGTGGGGCTACCTTTGAAGGTGAACTGGAAACTACAACTAATCCAGAATGCGGCAGCTAGACTGGGGACTGGGAGCGGCCGCCGAGACCACATAACACCGATCTTGAAAGACCTACATTTGCTCCCAGTACGTTTCCGAGCACAATTCAAAGTGTTGGTGCTGACCTTGAAAGCCCTAAACGGCCTCGGCCCAGTATACCTGAAGGAGTGTCTCCACCCCCATCGTTCTGCCCGGACACTGAGGTCCAGCACCGAGGGCCTTCTGGGGGTTCCCTCATTGAGAGAAGCAAAACTACAGGGAACCAGGCAGAGGGCCTTCTCGGTAGTGGCACCCACCCTGTGGAACGCCCTCCCACTAGATGTCAAAGAGAAAAATAACTACCAAACTTTTAGAAGACATCTGAAGGCAGCCCTGTTCAGGGAAGTTTTTAATGTGTGACATTTTAGTGTATTTTTGGTCTTTGTTGAAAGCTGCCCAGAATGGCTGGGGAAACCCAGCCAGATGGGCAGGCTACAAATAAATTATTATTTATTATTATTATTATTATTATTATTATTATTATTATTATTGCCCTCCAGGGGCTTTGAGACTCCCTGCTCCGGTCAGTGTGGCCAATGCCCTCAGGGATGATGGGAGTTGTAGTCTAACAACATCCTTGCCAAAATGGGGCAGCCCCAGATGGAGGCAGGCTGCTCACGAGGCTCTTGCTACGCATTGGAAAGGCATATTAAACATTCCATGGGCATGCTACCCATTTTCCCTTTTGGGGACACTGTGGAGCAATGTCATGGGCTCAGCTCACCCTGGTCCCCACCAGGGACAGAGCACAGAGGGGGGCCCCCCACTCTCATCTGAGTGCCCTGAAGCCTCGGTCCACAAGAACCGCACACCAGCCTCAGTTACATAAGCAGAAGCACGTCTCCAGGCTCACCGCGAAGAGGAGATCCCGCACATCTTTGGTGGCCGAATCCCTTCTGAGCGGCTGAGTCTGCTTTTTGGAGCGGCCGACACTTTGCTCCAGCCCCAGGGCTGCCACTGCAACAGAATCTTCCACCTCATTTCGTGTCTCGAGGGATCATTGCAGCGCCTGTGACCTTAAAGGAACCCAGCCACACACACACACCCCAACCCAAATGGAAATCACAGGGCCTCCCTCTCGCATCCTCCTCTCAACCCAGGAAGATGCTGCCTTAAGTGAGCAGTTTGCCTGCCTCTCTTGAAAGGGGGAAGCTTAGAAGCCTCCAGAAGAGACGGCTTCAGACCAAACAACTCCCATAGTGGCCTTGGAGGGCAGTTTCAAAAGGGATGCCAAAGGGAGCAGAAAAGCAGGAGCCAGGTAATCAGGGGGCTGGGACAGGGACCCCCAAGGATCATCCAGCCCAACCCCTGGAGAAACGCAAGAGTCACACAACAACAACAACTCTCACAAGGGAACGTGACAAAGCTGCGAGTGTTTTAGCTTAGGAAAGAGGAAACTAAAGGAGAAGCATGATGGAGGGGCACAAAATTATGCACAGTGGGGGAAAGTGGAAAGAGAAACATTTTTCTCCCTCCTAATACATACAAGAAATAATAATCCAACTTGGATGGCTGCAAAGGGAGATTAGACAAACTTACGGAAGAGGAGGAAAAGACTTCCAGTGGCTACTAACTGTGATGGTTAAGCAATATGTCCAGCCACAGCGACAGTGTGCCTCTGAAATAGCAGTTTCTGGCGGATTTAAGCATTAGAGTAGGACCTCTCTCATGTCCAGCTGCTGGGCTAGATGCGCCTGATCCAGGGTTTTCCTTACATTTCTATGGCCTTCCTCCTTCCATCTCCTCCAACAGGAGGAGGTGGGCCAAGTTTGCAAGGCAGAGCAGGGGAATCTGGGCCTGGAGAAACGATTCCGTCACTCTGGAAAACATTCCTCCCTCTCCATTAAAATAAAACTCTCATTCCAGGCCCAAACTTAGCCTGACAAACACACCCGCCACCAGCTCGCTGAAGCCAGAGGCCCTGCACCAGTTACAAAGTTTCCAAGAAAGATTTGGGCATTTTCTGGATTACGTTATCCGAGCCCAGCTGGGTGTTTGCTACAGAGCAGGCAAGGTTGGAGGAGCAGGCTGGCCAAGATCCACAGTCTTCTCGCCTCCATCCCATAATCCCCCTGGAGCCAGGGGCAGCAAGTGAGGCTCTTTACCGCAAGAGACAATTGTTGCTGTCCAAAGGGTACAAGCAGTTCCTGTGGTCCAAGGGAACAGACCTCAGGACTAGGGAAAGCTGTTTCCGAAGTCCGGCTCTGGAGCAAAACTCACTGTGTGGTCTCGGACGCCAGAACATCTCAACCTCAACCCAGAAACAAGAGTTAGTAGGACCAAGACCCTCCCTAGTCTTAGTTCCCAACCTCCACAAAGACAATCCCAGAAAAAACAGCTGTGGCTTGTTAGGCTTTGAAACCGAAGCGTGAAAATCGTTTTTTGAAGCCTGCGCATGTGGAAGTTGAATGGGAAAATGTTTCCTGAACTAGCAGTTGTTTCGGTCTTACTTGCATGGTTGTGGGTGGAGATGCCTGCTCAGGGATGGGGGGGGTGCTGTTTTGGCACCCAAAACAATGGAAGGCTGGAAAATCCCCTGGAGCCGTTGCAAAATGATAGTAAGGAAAAGAGCCTGGCTGAAGTCCTTCTGCACAAAAGTGCAGCAACAACACCAGCAGGCAGTGCCTTAACCAGGCAGGAAACTCCCCAAGCAGAGCCGCAACATGCTCTCCGACATTAGTCTGTTCCTCTGCAGGTACCGAGACCAGAGACGGGGGGGTTTCCCAGGAAATTCTGAATTGGATAATTCCCGGGGGGGGGGGAGACCCTATGCAAATGAGGGTTATTTGCATCACCCTCGAGATACACACATGTATAATTTTAGCACTTTATTTTGCTTGTATTTAGAAGGTCTAGCCCATTTTTTGTACACTAGGCTTGGCTTTGGTTACTCATGGCTGAGGAATACGGGGCAAGGACCTGCCTTGAACAACACCCAGAATTATTCTCGGTATTTGCAATCCCGGAGCCCCAGCCAGCAATTTCCGAGAGAGGTTCCTCACTGCTGTTGCAAAACTTCGGAGTGCAAAACGCCTTGGAAATTTGGGTGATGTTTTGCCCTCACAACAGCTTTGTGAGATCGATCACAACACCACCCGTTTTTACAGATATGACTGCCTTATAGAGAACTAAATCTGTTGACACATCTTTATCCCAAACTTCTCCAACTTTCCAGGACTTCCCCCAGGAAATTGAATGGGGGCCTCACACCTGCGTGACACAAACCCAGACTTCCATGATCCTACCTTCTGCAGGTGTGGGGGACCCTTTGGCTCCCCGATGCTGAGGTACTACAAATCCCACACCTGCTGATGGGAGTTGTAGTCCGAAACATCTGGAGAGTACCAGGCTGGGGAAACTGGGTATCTTCTGATGGACATCTGCTTCCCAAATGCTCAGTCCAATGTAGGGAAATGCAAAGGGAGCCAGGCTGGCCCATGAGACGAAAGCATAAAACAAATTTCTACATTTTGGCTGGCCTAATGAAGAGGTTGAGGAAGCCATAGATCAGGCTTCCTCAACCTCGGCCCTCCAGATGTTTTTGGCCTACAACTCCCATGATCCTTAGCTAGCAGGACCAGTGGTCAGGGATGATGGGAATTGTAGTCTCAAAACATCTGGAGGGCCAAGGTTGAGGAAGGCTGCCATAGATTTTGTAGAGGTTTAATGGGACGTATCAGAAACTGAACTCGGGACCTTTTACACGCTAAGCAAGGGCCAGCACATCCCTGTCTGTCAATTCCAAGTGGAATATTGCCACGCCCCCACCCCACAGTGCAAGACTATTTGACGTACCCTGCTATTTCCCCCTCTCTTTGGAAGGGATTGGGCGCCATCATAGCGCACTGGCAGTGCCCCCAGATTTGCTTTGCCCAGCCAGATCCCTAGGATCCTCAGGTTTTGCAGCGCTTTTGCTCCCAAAGGATCGGACCCACAGACAGACCTCTTCCTCCTGGGACCACTGCCAGGTGAGCTGATGGAGCAGGTGGGTACCTTTCCTGACTTGGGATTCCTAGGGGGATTCCTACATTCCTGAAGCCCCCCCCCCTAGTCCAGAAGAAGAAGTTCAGAATTCACCTGTGCAGAGCCGGGTGAAAATTGACAGGTAAGGATCCCGGGAGGGCCGGTTGCCAGCGCCCTCCCTTTCAGGAGCAAAGTCAAAAGGGCCAGGCGTGGAGGGGCAGAGCTTTGCACGTTAAGGGAGAGAGCCCCCCCCCAAAAAAAAAACAACTAAGAGTGGCCTCAGCCAAAAACTGCATCACTGATGGAGAGCCGTTTAGTGGGAGAAGCAGGAAAGCTTCGTGGAGACGGGGTCCATAAAGGGCTGCGTTCACACGATACCTTGGCAGCACCTTCCCGCCTCGGAGAATTCTGGGCACGCCCGTCGGTCCGGAGCGCCTGGGAAGCGGGGCAATGACGCGCGTCCAAAGTGCCGTGTGAACGCACTTCGAGACGCGGTCCCGGCTCCGGGCAGAAGCGCGACCTGCAGGTCCGGGGGGGGGGGCAGTCGACCCGCGAAGGCAAAAGTAGACTGGGGGGGAAAGGCGGATCCGCGAGCTGCCTCTAGACCCGGTCTCGGATGGGGGCCACCCCGCTTTCCCCGACTCGGAACCCGCGGCGTCCCGATCCGCTTCCTCGCGAGGAAGCCCCGCCGCCCTCCCTCTCCGGGCGCTCTGCACGCGCTCAGAGGCGCTCTCGCCGCCTCCATTCACCCCCAGGCACTCACCGGGCAGAGAGCAGTCCCCGCGGATGCGACGCGGCTGGCGGGGCTCGTTGGCCGGCCGGCCCTCCTTCCTTCCTTCCCTCCGTCCGTCCGCGGACTCCGGCCCCCGCCTGCCTCGCGCTCTCCTCCGCGGGCCGGGAGGGCTGCAGGACGCCCCGCCCCCGCCCCGCCATTGGATGCGCTCACGCTGGCGGGGAGCCCATTGGCCCTCCCAGGCCGCGCCCCCTCGGCCTCGCCGCACGTGAGCAGCAGCAGCAGCTGGGCGCGGGGAGGCGGAGTCCGCGCAGCGGGACGGGATCGCGGGACGGAGGCGAACCGCGGGAGGGTTCGCGCGGCGGCGTTTGGAGGAGGAAACCGAGGAGAAGCGGCCCCCAGGTGGCTGGAGCGGGGCTCCTGGTCGCCGCTCCCCGAGCTGAAAACACGGGCTCCCTTGAGCATGTGCAGAGTGGCTTCTTTATTTTTTTATCGAAAAATAAATTGAAGGAAAGCGGGAGAGATGCTTGAAACGGTGATATAATACGATTTGTGGATATATATATGGTTATTGTTGATATACAACCTCAGATATGCAGATGACACAACCTTGATGGCAGAAAGTGAGGAGGAATTAAAGAACCTTTTAATGAGGGTGAAAGAGGAGAGCGCAAAATATGGTCTGAAGCTCAACATCAAAAAAGCAAAGATCATGGCCACTGGTCCCATCACCTCCTGACAAATAGGGGAAGAAATGGAGGCAGTGAGAGATTTTACTTTCTTGGGCTCCATGATCACTGCAGATGGTGACAGCAGTCACGAAATTAAAAGACGCCTGCTTCTTGGGAGAAAAGCAATGACAAACCTACACAGCATCTTAAAAAGCAAAGCTATGGTTTTCCCAGTAGTGATGTATGAAAGTGAGAGCTGGACCATAAAGAAGGCTGATCGTCGAAGAATTGATGCTTTTGAATTCTGGTGCTGGAGGAGACTCTTGAGAGTCCCATGGACTGCAAGAAGATCAAACCTCTCCATTCTGAAGGAAATCAGCCCTGAGTGCTCACTGGAAGGACAGATCCTGAAGCTGAGGCTCCAAGACTTTGGCCACCTCATGAGAAGAGAAGACTCCCTGGAAAAGACCCTGATGTTGGGAAAGATGGAGGGCACAAGGAGAAGGGGACGCAGAGGACAAGGTGGCTGGACAGTGTTCTCGAAGCTACCAGCATGAGTTTGACCAAACTGTGGGAGGCAGTGGAAGACAGGAGTGCCTGGCGTGCTCTGGTCCATTAAAAACCTCCCTATACGGAGCTGCCTTCAGATGTCTTCTAAAAGTTGTGTACAGTAGTGGGTCGTGCAAACCACCATTCTGGAAACTCAAGGCTAGGGAAGGGGCTGTAGCTCAGTCCGTTCCAGGGGCATCTCTAGATAGGGCTGGGAGGGACCCCTGTCTGAAACCTTGGAGAGCCACTGCCAGTCCGCGTAGTAGACGATGCTGAGCTAGATGGACCCACAGTCCCATTTTGCATAGTTAACCTATGGAACTCGCTGCCACAGGAGGCAGTGATGGCTGTCAACCTGGATGGCCTTAAAAGAGGATTGGCTAAATTCATAGAAGAGAGGGCTACCAATGTTTACTACAAGCCTAAACGGCCTCGGTCCAGTATATCTGAAGGAGAGTCTCCACCCCCATCGTTCTGCCTGGACACTGAGGTTCAGCACTGAGGTTACAGGAAACTAGGCAGAGGGCCTTTTCGGTGGTAGCACCTGCCCTGTGGAACACCCTCCCACCAGATGTCAAGGAAATAAACAGCTATCTGACTTTTAGAAGACATCTGAGGGCAGCCCTGTTTAGGGAAGCTTTTAATGTTTAATAGGCTATTGTATTTTAATATTTTGTTGGAGGCCGCCCAGAGTGGCTAGGGAAACTCAGGCAGATGGGCGGGGTATAAATAAATTGTTGTTGTTGTTGTTACTACTATTACTACTACTGCTACTAACCAGGAGGGCTCTGCTCTGCCTCCACAGCTGGAGCCAGGCATGCTTCTGAACCCCACTTCCTGGAAACTGCAGGAAGGGAGAGGGCTCTTGTGCCCGGATCCTGCTTGCGGGTTTCCAGTTGGGGCAGCTGGTTGGCCCATGTGAGAACAGGATGCCAAACTAGAACCAGAATGGAGTAGTGGTTATGAGTGTCGGACTAGAACGTAGAAGACCAGAGTTCAAATCCTGCACTTAAGCTCAGTGGGTCACCTTGGGCCAGTCACTACCTCTTTGCCTAACCTACCTCACAGGGATGTTGTGGGGGAATCAAATGAGGAGTGGGAGAACCACGTAGGCCACCTTTGAGCTCCTTGGGGGTGAGGGATGGGACGTGAGATTTAAAAGCAGTAAATCAGACATGTCCAACTTCCAAGAGACTGTGATCCACTATCAAAAAACTGGCAGTGATCTACCCGTTGGATTTTTAGGGAGCAAGAGTTGTTGAGCTTTATTATTTGGGGGGCGATCGACCACGATCTACCACGGACCCCCCACGATCGACCAGTAGATTGCGATTGACCTGTTGGACATCCCTCCCAGAGTAAATAAATGCTATCGATGGGCTCTTCTTATGGTCTTAAGATGTGGCTGTATTTTTACGGCTTCTGGTGCTTCTTGCCACCTTTTCTGTGGACGGACTGGTTGGGCAAGGGACGCTGGCCTCGTCTGTGCAGGACTCGGACTGGGTGGGGGCACATGGAAAGTTAGGCCAGAGGAAGGGGCAGAGGTGGCCTAAGGACAGCCTTGTGTGTGCTTCAACATCCAGAGAAAGTAAGAAGAGTTGGGGAAGGAGAGGTTCCGGTCGCTGTCTTAAGAGACGCCAGGAGCTTGCTTTTTCTTTCTAATTTAGGATAAACGACAAATTTGCACATGTGATTGATGGGGCCAATAATATGGGAAGCAGCCATTTTAATTGAAACAGCAGTACCAAGAAATGGGTAAAAAACATAAACAACAGGAGAGACAGGTTTGATCCCACGGACTGGAACGCACAGAGGAAACAAGAGACAGAACCGTGCTGATTGCCATCTTCAGAGAAACGTGTGTCGCTTTTAAGATGTTTTTTTATTTATTTCAAAGCCGCCTGTGCTGCTTTTTCGGCAAGGCTTCTGCAAGCGAACAAACCATATAACAATGAAACCTTCAGAACGCTTAAAATATCCAGTTACATCCATATATATAAAACCAGCGTGAGATAAAATAACCCATTTATCACCACAACAGGAGGCTCTGGCTGAGAGTCTTGATTTAGAACCCCAAGAAAAAGCCGTCAGTGGAAATGGCAAAGCACTGGCAATGTATTGGCCAGAGCGGAAGCCTCTGCAGCCAGCAAGGCTTAAATCATGTGGCTTTTTCGTATTTCTCGCATGTGTTTGCAACTTTGAACCCCACATTGTTTCGATTCTTCTGTTGGCTGGAATGAACATTCAGCTTTAATAGATTTGACTTCTACACTCTGTCCTACATTAGCTAATTTGTAGAATCTTAAACTTGATGGGGACCCCAGAGGCCATCTAGTCCAGCCCCCGCAATGCAGGAATAACAGCTAAAGAATCCCCGGCAGATGGCCACCCAACCTCTGTTTAAAAACCTGCAATGGTGGAGAGACCAACAGCTTCTACTGTTGAACGGTTCCTGCCCTCAGAAAGTGATTCTTAATGTTTAGTAAGAATCCAGCTTATGAAAAACCCAGCTGCTGCAACAGAACAGGCCAATAATATCTGCAGTGCTTTTTTCCTAAAAAAATAGTTTAGGGGTACTCTCATTTTCCTACTCATATTGAAATACTGCCCCTCAATGGGCCCAAACTTAGATTCACAAAATGTTTAGGGGTATGCGTCTCCCCAGGAAAAAAAGCACCAAATGCCTGTGTACATTAGAATGCAGATTGCGCCTGACCATTGGCTCTCAGAGCCAGAGGGGTCCCACACCGCCTATGATTTCTCCTACTGACCCCTTTAAGGGACGCGGGCAGCGCTGTGGTCTAAACCACAGAGCCTAGGGCTTGCCGATCGGAAGGTCGGCGGTTCGAATCCCCGCGACGGGGTGAGCTCCTGTTACTCGGTCCCTGCTCCTGCCAACCTAGCAGTTCGAAAGCATGTCCAAGTGCAAGTAGATAAATAGGTACTGCTCCGGTGGGAAGGTAAATGGTGTTTCCGTGCACTGCGAAGCTGTACGCCAGCTCCCTTGGCCAATAAAGCAAGATGAGCCCCGCAACCCCAGAGTCATCCGCCACTGGACCTAAGGTTAGGGGTCCTTTTACCTTTTACTAAAACCCTTTGTGGATTGCTGTGGAACCCAGGAGGGGAGAACTTTGCAAAGCTCTCTATAATACTGGACATTGTGTCACTTCTGCCATCTTCTGGGTGGAACCAAAACTGCATGACGGACAAGGCTGGCGGCGTTTCTGTTCAGTGGACTGTCACTAATTTGGACAGCACTGGCAAAAGGAGATTGACTTGTGTTGGCAGGGCTCTGGGAACATGGCAGTTCTGAAACAATGCCAGGTCCTTTGTGCTTGCGACTAACCTGCCTCTGGCTGACTCCGTTATGCCAGCTGCAAAATTTGGCATTTGCGTATTCATCTATTTTGTTTCGAATTTCGCAGGGATGCTGTAGCCATGGATTTCCTGCATCAGCAGGAGGCTGAATCTGGCGAGGTTCCTTCCATCTCCATGATTCTGTTGTTTCCTTGTCCTTAAACAGACAGCATTGTTTTCCATAATAAACTCAAATCTGGCTAGGTTTATTCCGGGGGGAAAAAGAAGCAGCTAAAGATAGTGGCAGCTGCTCCAGGGCTTGCTTTCCTCTTCCCTCCTCATTCCTTTTTTCTTTTGTGCCATGTACTAAAAATTGTACTAATAAAACTGGTGTGTACTAAATTGTATTACCACACACTAATTGTACCATATTGTGTAGGAAGCTCTTTTAACACTGGGGGCTGCAGAAGTTGAATCGGGATCCAGTGGGGAGATCTCTGGCTGATCTGCTGTAGGATTTCTGACCTCAAAATTGTTTTAACAATGGCAAGAGCAAACCAACATTCCCGAGTGAATCGGGCGGCTGCAATGAAGAGAAATGAACCGTATTAAGATGTTTGTGTGGGAGAAATGCAAACTCAGTTCAGTTCTGGTACTGAAAATAAACCCCTAGGCTAAGAATG